AGAAAAAGAATTCAGAATAATGATAGTGAAGATGATCCAGGGCCTCAGAAAATGAATGAAGACAAAGATCAAGAAAATGCAAAAAATATTTAACAAAGACCTAGAAGAACTGAAAGAACAAACACCTAGAAGAATTAAAGAAAAAGCAGACATGAACAATACACTAACTGAAATAAAAAATACACTAGAAGGAATCAATAGCAGAATAACTGAGGCAGAAGAACGGGTAAGTTACCTGGAAGACAGAATGGTGGAATTCACTACCATGGAACAGACTAAAGAAAAATGAATGAAAAGAAATGAAGACAACCTAAGAGACCTCTGGGACAACATTAAATGCACCAACATTTGCCTTATAGGGGTCCCAGAAGGAGAAGAGAGAGAGAAAGGACCTGAGAAAATATTTGAAGAGATAATAGTAGAAAACTTCCCTAACATGGGAAATGAAACAGCCACCGAAGTCCAGGAAGTGCAGAGAGTCCCAGGCAGGATAAACCCAAGGAGAAACATGCCGAGACACATAGTAATCAAATTGAAAAAAATTAAAGAGAAAGAAAAATTATTAAAAGCAACAAGGCAAAAATGACAAATAACATACAAGGGAGCTCCCGTAAGGTTAACAGCTGATTTCTCAGCAGAAAATGTAGATAGCCTCATCCAGGGGGAAGGAGCAGTGACAATGGACAACCTGAAATACAAAGTATGCCAATAAAATGGACAACCCTCCCAGAAGGGAGGGGCACGATATATTTAAAAGTGATGAAAGGGAAGAACCTACAACCAAGACTACTCTACGTGCAAAGATCTCATTCAGATTCAACGGAGAAATCAAAAGCTTTACAGACAAGCAAAAGCTAAAAGAATTCAGCACCACCAAACCAGCTCTACAACAAATGCTAAAGGAACTTCTCTTCTCTAAGTGGGAAACACAAGAGAAGAAAAGGACCTATGAAAACAAACCCAAAACAAGTAAGAAAATGGTAATAGTAACATACATATCGATAATTACCTTAAATGTGAATGGATTAAATGCTCCTACCAAAAGACACAGGCTTGCTGCATGGATACAAAAACAAGATCCAAATATATGCTGCCCACAAGAGACCTCCTTCAGTCCTTGGGACACATACAGACTGAAAGTGAAGGGATGGAAAAAGATCTTCCATGTGAATGGAAAAAAAAAGAAGCTGGAGTAGCAATACTCATTTCAAATAAAATAGACTTTAAAATAAAGAATGTTACGAGACACAAGGAAGGACACTACATAATGATCAAGGGATCAATCCAAGAAGAAGACATAACAATTATAAACATATATGCACCCACATGGGAGCACCTCAATACATAATGCAAAAGCTAACAGCTATAAAAGAGGAAATCAACAGCAACACAATAATAGTGGGGGACTTTTAACACCTCATGTACACCAATGGACAGATCATCCAGACAGAAAATTAATGAGGAAACACAAGCTTTAAATGACACAATAGACCAAATAGATTTAATTGATATTTATAGAACATTCCATTCAAAAACAGCAGATTACACTTTCTTCTCATGTGCGCATGGAACATTCTCCAGGATAGATCACATCTTCGGTCACAAATCAAGCCTCAGTAAATTTAAGAAAACGGAAATCATATCAAGCATCTTTTCTGACCTCAACGCTATGAGATAAGAAATAAATTACAGGAAAAAAAACACAGAAAACACAAACACATGGAGGCTAAACAAAACGTTATTAAATAACCAAGGGATCACTGAAGGAATCAAAGAGGAAATCAAAAATACCTAGAGATGAATGACAATGAAAACATGACGATCCCAAATCTCTGGAATGCAGCAAAAGCAGTTCTAGGAGGGAAGTTTATAGCAATATAATCCTACCTTAAGAAAAAAAAAATCCCAAGCAATCTAACTTTACACTTAAAAGAACTAGAGAAAGAAGAACAAAACCCAAAGTTAGCAGAAGGAAAGAAATCATAAAGATCAGAGCAGAAATAAATGAAATAGAAACAAAAAAACAATAGCAAAGATCAATAAAACTAAAAGGTGGTTCTTTGAGAAGATAAAATTGATAAACCTTTAGCTAGACTCATCAAGAAAAAGAGGGAGAGGACTCAAATCAATAAAAATAGAAATGAAAAAGAAGAAGTTACAATGGACACCACAGAAATACAAAGTATGCCAATAAAATGGACAACCTGAAAGAAATGGACAAATTCTTAGAAAGGTATAACCTTCCAAGACTGAACCAGGAAGAAATAGAAAATATGAAAACACCAATCACAAGTAATGAAATGGAAACCGAGACTAAAAATCTTCCAACAAATGAAAGTCCAGGACCAGGTGGCTTCACAGGTGAATTCTATCAAACATTTAGAGAAGAACTAACACTCATCCTCCTCAAACTCTTCCAAAAAATTGTAGAGGAATGAATACTCCCAAACTCATTCTATGAGGCCACAATCACCCTGATACGAAAACCAGACAAAGATACTACAAAACAAGAAAATTACAGACCAGTATCACTGATGAATACAGATGCAAAGCTCCTCAACAAAATACTAGCAAACAGAATCCAAAACACATTAAAAGGATCATACACCATGACCAAGTGGGATTTATCCCAGGGATGCAAGGATTCTTCAATACATGCAAATCAACCAATGTGATACACCACATTAACAAACTGAAGAATGAAAACCATATGATCATCTTAATACCTGCAGAAAAAGCTTCTGACAAAATTCAACACCCATTTATGATAAAAACTCTCCAGAAAGTGGGCATAGAGGGAACCTACCTCAACATAATAAAGGCCATATACGACAAACCCACAGCAATCATCATTCTCAATGGTGAAAAACTGAAAGCATTTCCTCTAAGATCAGGAACAAGACAAGGATGTCCACTCTCACCACTATTGTTCAACATAGTTTAGGAATTTTTAGCCACAGAACTCAGAGAAGAAAAAGAAATAAAAGGAATCCAAATTGGAAAAGAAGTAAAACTGTCACTGTTTGCAGATGACATGATACTATACATAGAGGATCCTAAAGATGCCACCAGAAAACTACTAGAGCTAATCAATGAATTTGGTAAAGTTGCAGGATACGAAATGAATGCAGAGAAATCGCTTGCATTTCTATAAACTAACAACAAAAGATCAGAAAGAGAAATTAAGGAAATAATCCCATTCACCACTGCAACAAAAAGAATACCTAGGAATAAATCTACCTAAGGAGGTAAAAGGCCTGTACTCAGAAGACTATAAGACACTGATGAAAGAAATCAAAGATGACACAAACAGATGGAGAGATACACCATGTTCTTGGATTGGAAGAACCAATATTGTGAAAATGACTATACTACCCAAAGCAATCTACAGATTCAATGCAATCCCCATCAAATTACCAATAGCATTTTTTATAGAACTAGAACAAAAAAATCTGAAAATTTGTATGGAGACACAAAAGACCCCAAATAGCCAAAGCAATCTTGAGGGAAAAAAACGGAGCTGGAGGAATCAGACTCCCTGACTTCAGATTATACTACAAAGCTACACTAATCAAGACAATATGGTTCTGGCACAAAAACAGAAATACAGAATAATGGAACAGGATAGAAAGCCCAGAGATAAACTCACACACCTATGGTCAACTAATCTATGACAAAGGAGGCAAGGATATGCAATGGAGAAAAGACAGTCTCTTTAATGAGTGGTGCTGGGAAAACTGGACAGCTACATGTAGAAGAATGAAATTAGAACACTCCCTAACATCACACACACAAAAAAACTCAAAACGGATTAAAGACCTAATGTAAGACGGGAAACTCTTAGAGGAAAACATAGGAAGAACACTCTTTGACATAAATCACGGCAAGTTCTTTTTTGATCCACCTCCTAGAGTAATGGAAATAAAAACAAAAATAAACAAAGGGGACCTAATGAAACTTAAAAGCTTTTGCATAGCAAAGGAAACTGTAAACAAGATGAAAAGACAGCCCTCAGAACGGGAGAAAATATTTGCAGATGAATCAATGGACAAAGGATTCATCTTCAAAATATATAAACAGCTCATGTAGCTCAATATTAAAAAAAAAAGAACCCAATCAAAAAATGGTAGAAGAGGTAAACAGGCATTTCTCCAAAGAAGACATACAGATGGCCAAGAGGCACATGAAAAGCTGCTCAACATCACTAATTATTAGAGAAATGCAAATCAAAACTACAATGAGGTATCACCTCACGCCAGTTACAATGGGCATCATCAGAAAATCTACAAACAACACATGCTGGAGAGGGTGTGGAGAAAAGGGAACGCTCTTGTACTGTTGGTGGGAATGTAACTTGATACAGCCACTATGGAGAACAATATGGAGGTTCCTTCAAAAACTAAATATAGAATTACCATATGACCCAGCAATCCCACTACTGGGCATATATATACCCAGAGAAAACCATAATTCAAAAAGACACATGCACCCCAGTGTTCACTGCAGCACTATTTACTATAGCCAGGTCATGGAAGCAACCTAAATGCCCATCGACAGACGAATGGATAAAGAAGATGTGGTACATATATACAATGGAATATTAGCTATAAAAAGGAACGAAACTGGGTCATTTGTAGAGACGTGGATGGACCTAGAGACTGTCATACAGAACGACGTAAGTCAGAAAGAGAAAAACAAATATCGTATATTAACGCATATATGTGGAATCTAGAAAAATGGTACAGATGAACCGGTTTGCAAGGAAAACAGTGACACAGATGTAGAGAACAAACACAAGGGCACCAAGGGGGAAAAGTGGGGTGGTGGTGGGGTGGGATGAATTGGGAGATTGGGATCGACATATATACACTAATATGTATAAAACAGATAACTAATAAGAACCTGCAGTATAAAAAAATAAAAATTAAAAAAAATCACTGCTATAGAAAAATACTAATATTAGAAATAAAGTTCTTAAACAATATTCAAAAGTTACCAACCTAGTGATGTAAACTCTTCTTCCAGAGAGCTAGAGCTATTGGAAGATGAACTCTGATCATCTTTACTTTCTGAAGAACGATGTGTTCCGTCCTCTTCGTCTGTTGAAAGATCAACCGCTCTGGATTCTAACAGGACGTTTTTTGAATATAACAAGAAAGAGTCAAGATGTTGGAATCAGTAATTGAAATTATGAACAACACATGGCATATGTAAAATATGGTGTTTTAATTTTACTCCACATATTTAAAGTAGATATGCAGATCTTTCCTAATTTCCATTCTTTCTGAAATCAATGGATGGTCTAATAAATGTACAAGGACGTATCCTATTTGTGTTATCTACTTAACTAGTAAAATACTCTCTTCATTAAAGAATGAAACGAAAAGAGGAAAGGGAACATAAGAGAAAAAAGAAAATGACAAAAAGTGAAAGGATATTTAAATGAAAAAAGAAAAACAGTGATAGTGAATAACTAGAAAAAGAAAAGAATACTTAACGTACATTTCCTATATGCTAGACATACCGAAGTCTGGTTTACGAGATTTATTTCATTTAACATTCACAACGCTATAAAGTAAATGCTATTACTGATGAGAATATTAAGGATTGGAAAGGCTAAATAACATGTCCAATGTCACAAAGTTACTAAATGGAGAAGCTGGGCTTTCAATCAAATTTCATCCAATTCTGGAATTTAGGCTCTTGTAATATAAATACTAAGTTACATTTCAATGGCTGGTGGTAAGAAGTACTATAATGAGTACTGTAGCCTCAAACCAAATCATGGATCTATTTCCATTGTGTGATTCTGGAAAGGACACAGTCAATTAATCTATTAAACAAAGACAGCATTAAGAGAGAACACCCACAGAGGTATTGTGAGAATCAAATGAGCAAAGTGTAAAGGACTTTATGGTATTATTGACAAAAAAGGACTTGTTAGTTCACAAATATTTTGTAATAGTTGTGAATAACCTTAAGATTTAAGATTACATAAATAAGTACTCTTATATTAAGAACGTTCCTTAATTAGAAAACCTATATAAATTTCAAAAAAGCTGGAGTAAAATCAAGAATTAAAAGACAAAGTAATATATCGCTTCTTGGCCATTTGGCTAAGATCAAGTGTAAAACACAACAAGGAATATAGCTGTAGCTTACATCTTTCTTAGCTACTGCTATTTATAACAACTCCTACATCTTCTTAAAGTGAAGTAAAGTTACACCAGAGCAGTGGTTCTCAGAGTATGATCCATCAACCCTTGGAGGTCCCTCAGACCCTTTCAGCGGGTCTGAGGGAAAAGCCAAACTACTTTCATCACAACATTAACTTGTTACTTGCCCTTTCTACTCCGTTGGTGGGTAAAACTGCAAATCTTTTAGTATGAATCATAACAGTGATACCAATCTGCAGAAGCATCCACTGTATTCTTTTCCACCTTGTACTAGCAAGAAAAATAGTTTCACTTATTGTCCTTAATGAAACAATAAAAAATTAATTTTATTAAATTTTGGCCCTGAGTACACATCTTTTTAATATTCTGTGGATCAAAATGGAAGCATGCATAAAGCACTTCTGGCGCATACTGAAATGCAATGGTTGCCTCAAGGAAAAGCACTTGTGTGATGAGCTGCAAGTTGAACTTAACCACTGTCTTTGAGAAGGAAAACCTTTCTACTTGAAAGAATGACAGACAAACTCTAGTTATTCAGACACGGGTATCTGACAAACATTTTCTTAAAAATGAGCAAAGTTGTGCCTATCACTTCAAGAATTAGAAATTTCAAGTGAAGTCTATAATTTTGGGAAAACATGCCCTCTACTGTGAACTTGATAGCTTTCCAATACTTAAAGACTGATGATGTCAGTAGTAGCATTAAGAGAGTTTTTCTTTTGACATTGTAATAAATTGTACCAACACTTGCAAGAACTGCAACTCGGTGAACCACTATTTTCCAAAGAGTCAATGCATGATGTTACCAGTCATGCATGGGTAAAAGCCATTCAAAGTGCAAAACACACCGACAGATTTTAATCTAGTGGAGTACAAAAAAACTGACTGATGTGGTTTCAGCTTCCTCGTGCCAACTAAAAATTGGCACTTGCCTTCTGCATCTACAAGGATTAAGTCACAAACTGCTGTAGCTGCTGATTTTCAATACACCCTGAAAGGAGTTCAGGGCAGAGATGAGGAATGAGGTACTCTGTGCTTTGGGAAAAACTGGCAGAACAGGCCTTCAGACAGATATTTTCAGAAGATTTTATGAGCCCAATCCTTACATCTCCTCATATCTGGAAAAGCACTAAAATCATTAATGGTGATGTCTGCGCCTCATGACTAGCAGCAAGCCTCTGCCAAAATGTGTGTTTGACCGCACAAACCCCTCTTCACTAATATCATATGTAATACTGACCTCTCCCCTACCTCTGTGGAGCAGTTTCTCAAAGCTACCTGAAACGCTGTCTCCTGGGCTATAGTTCTCATTTTGCCCCAAATAAAACTTAACTCACAAACTTTCACGTTGTGCATTTTCTTCAGTCGACACACATTGCAAACTAACCTTTAAGAACCTATTACTTTTTGAGCTTCATTGTAATATTAAAGCAGAACATCTTCAATGAACTAAAAAGGCTCTTAAGTACTCCTAATCATCTATCTGTGGTTTTCTTCATACATTCAAACAAAACAACATATTTCAATAGACTGAATGCAGAAATATCTGTGAGAATTCAGCTGTCTTCCATTAAGCCAGACATTAACGAGATTTGCAAATTGAAAACGTCACTCTTGCTATTTTTCAGAAAAGTTATTTTTCATTAAAAAGGTTTATCTGTACATATAATGAGTTAATTTTTAAAAAGAATTAATAAAAATTTATCTTAATTCCTAAGATGGTAAATATTATAGATATAATCCACAGAATTATTATAGATATAATCCACAGAAACAAAAGCTCTTTGGGATCCTTAATTATTCTTAAGAGTATAATGGGTATGTATACCTTTAAGACCAAAAGGGTACTCTTAAGACCAAAAAGTTTGAGAACCACTGTTTCACTGTTTTAGAAGGCAAGAGAAGAGGCAACTCCTGGGACCCCCCCCATTAAAGTTTAACCAGATGACTCTTACATAAAGCAAAAAATATTTTAAAATTCATCAGAACTTCAGATAAACAGGTGATTATAACAATGACTAAGAAATCACCAAAATCACTTGGACTAAAAATGGGAGAAAATTTTTTTACCTCAAGACTAACCAAAAACTATATATTTTTTTACAGATACTTTTTTATTTATTGAAATTATACCATGTATACTGTCTTCAAAATAACAATAAATTATGTAACATATCATTAGCAACATAGGTTTGTTTTCTACATGGTTATTTCATCCTGTGACAAGCCAGAAATGCTGAATCATCATTCTGTTGGTGGCATCATCCACAGGTGACAAACTGGAGATTCTACTCATGTCAACAGACCAGGGGTTACCTCAGTTCATTAAACCTGAGTGTTAGGTATCCTGGAGAAACATGGTTTGCAGACAAAAGTAGGTACAAAGTGCCATTTATCTGGAGAAGCTGGTTGCTTTTAGGGCCTTTACTACGAGCTTCACTACTGAATTTTTTTAGAAGTTCCTTTTAGAATGAAACATAATCTCAAATATTTTTATGTGTGTCTGAGTCAGAAGTTAATGTATTTAAACTTCAAGACCCTATTTATACAAGTTCCTTCCAAGTCCTTGTTCCTGTGTTTTTATTTCTAACTTTTCCTAACTATATAGTTTTATTTTAACTATATTATTATTAAACTCCAATTCAAACTAGAACACATCTTATGTAAACAAGTTTATGCTGCTTGAATTCTATTTTTAAGAACGCAAAGGTACTTCAAAATTACTACATTGTATTTAACACCATTATTGGTACTCTACAGGGTCACCAATCTGTTGTTAGTGGCATATATTGCTATTTTTATCTTTTCTTTAAATAACCGCTTAAAAAACAAAACGCAAAAGAAAATGTCCCAAAGCCTGTCACCTAAATTTTTCTAGTGTATCGTTTTGCTTGTTTTCGAGGAAAAGAATTGGGGACAGAAAGTACCTTCACCTACCTAGGAGTATTAGGAATTTTTAAACTCTTCTGTGACGATTTAGGTTCTTCATAAGCATAAAGTGCAGCACTAAAGCCATATATAATTAGTGAGGGTTTATCTGACAGTGCAAACACGGACAAGCCCAAACCTTGCAGTAGCCTTTCTACTCCCCCAAGGGGCCCAATACGGAGATGCAGGCAGTAGGCCAGTGTTCGCAGGCAGGTATCTCCGCGATTCATCGTTGTTCGTGGTTGGCAAAGGGTTGTAGAAACCTCTAGAGAATCCCGCGGCCTCTTTCCCCATCCTCCCCACACCCCGCCCCTGGCACCCACCCTGCTGCCCCGGGTACCCACCCTGCTGCCCCGCGTCACCTAGGACGTCCGAGCCTCCGTCCAAACGCTGAGCCGCTCTCGCGGCGTGCCGGGAACTGGCCCAGACCCGGCCGCGGCCCCGGCCCCGACCCCGGGCCCGGCGGGGTAGTTCCGCCGCTTCCGCGCGGACTCCGCCAGACGACAGCCCTTCCTCCGCAGGGCCCAGGTCTGCCTGCTCCCCCGGCGCCCCGGGTTCAGCAAATGGCTCATGGGTGCTGTCGCTGTCACTAGAGTCCGCTCGGCGCTGCCGGAAAGTCCTTTTCGGCCTGTGAGCCATAGCAGGTTCACTTCCTGCTCTGGCTAACCCAGGCCTACAGCAGTCACCCAGGCGCGCGCTCCCGCCTCCCGCCTTTCCGCCGCATGCGTGTGCCCTACCGGCGCGTCTTCGACTCCATCTTCGCCATGCGCATGCGTGCTTTGTTCCCTTCGATCTGTTCGACCGAGTTCGGTTCCCAGGGCTGAGGCATGTAGAGCGTTTTTACTTTGCAAGGCCAGATTGTGCAGATGGTCGCAGAGAATCTCGCTGACTTCCGGAGGTGAGTTCCACGGAAAGCTGCACTCACAGGCTCTTCTTGTGCAAACCCTATCTGGGAATCAGGCGTTATGCCCACATTCTGGACTGGGACTGGATCTGCTCTTCTACTTTCTGGAGAGAGTGAAGTTCTCTCCAACCAAGAATTAAAACAGAAAAAAAAAAAAAAACCAAGCAAAAAAACCGCAGGTGTGTGTGTGTTTGAGATTGTCTCTGAAAGCGAAACAGTAAAATCTACACAGTAAAATCTGCACATAAATGATAGGTGCACAAGTAAGCAAAAATCAAATGATTGCTTCCAAGTATCAAGACTTCAGTCGAACCTGGTTAAATACGTTGGCCCATAAGAAAAAAAAATGTATTTGAAAAATAGGGATGTTATTTAAAAAGAAGCACAGAGATAACAAGGACAGCCCCACAGAATTACCTTTAGAAACAGGTAAAGAGCAACAAGAGAGCAAGAAGCCTTTTTAGGTACCCATAATCATCACTACTTTATATTATTTGCTCTTTCTCATGAATACGAGGAATTTCTTCCCCCAAGATGACATGAATAATGCCATATATCTTATTTGCACCCACTATACTAATTTACAATACTAGCTTATTAAATTAATCAACTGGTTATTAGGAAACTTTGCATTATTCATATTTTATATAATTTAAAATTACAGAGGTTAATAATTGAAAGAAAATTGGCATATGAAATATTCCCAGCTTTTGGAAATCGTTTATCCCCTAGTGAAGTGACATTTTATTCTGCTTCTCTAGCTATTGATCAGTGGGTTCTGAGCTCCCTCTAGTGAGAAATGTGCTACTTACAGAAGGATTGTGTCAATCTTGGAAATTGCCTCCTTTCTCATAATAGAGCTACTTTTCATTCTCTGTTGTTATAAGTAATAGATATATTTTCATTTTTTAGCCAAACCTACATCAGATTTTCTCAGAGAACAAATATTGAGAAGTCGTATTAATAAGTTATCACTCTCTCCTTTGGGAATTAAAAACACTTATTGTGGAAATAGATCCACAAAAGTATGGACCTAATTTTGTTTTCATTTTTTCAGTATCTATTTTTGAGCACTTACTATGACGGTCTCTTGTCCTGGGCCCAAAGGGTCATGATATACATGGGGGTCATGCTCCCGGTGGTCAGGTGCTATTAGCCAAACTATCCCTACAGTTTGGCTTGTTGGAAATTACTTAAAAAAAAAAAATGATGCTCAAAATACTTAACGTAAGATCTACACTCTTAACAAATTTTTAAGTGTACAGTACAGTATTGTTAATTATAAACACAATGTTGTACAGCAGATCTCTAGAACTTTTTCCTTTTAACCAAAGCTTTTTACCTGTTGTACTTTAACTCCCCATTCCTCCTCCTTCCTGCCCCTGGCAATCACCATTCTCCTTTTTGCTTCTATGAGTTTGGCTATTTTAGGTACCTCACGTAAGTGGAATCATGCAGTATTTACCCTTCTGTGACTTAGCATAATGTCCTCAAAGCTCATCCATTTTGTCACATATAGTGGGATTTCCTTCCTTTTTAATGATGAATGATATTCCATTGTCTCTATATACCACATTTTCTTTATCCATTCATTGGACAATAGACATTTAGGTGGTTTCCATACCTTGGCTATTGTGAAGAGTGTTGCAATAAATGTGGGAGTGCAAATATGTCTTCAAGATCCTGATTTCAATTCTTGTGGATAAATACCCAGAAGTGGGACGGCTGGATCATATGGTAGTTTTATTTTTAATTTTTTGAGGAACTTCCCTACTGTTTTCCATAACAACTGCACATTTCACATTCCCACCAACTGTGTGCAAACATTCCAGTTTCTCCACAACCTTGCCAACACTTGTTGACTATTGATTGATTGATTGATACCGGCCATCCTAGCAGATGTGAAGTGATATCTTATTGTGGTTTTGATTGGCATTTCCCTGATTAGTGATGTTCAGCATCTTTCACATAGCTGTTGGCTTCTTTGGAGAAAGTCTATTCAAATCCTTTGCCCATTTTAAAATTGGGTTATTTGGTTTTGTTGTTGGTTTTGTTTTGTCATTGAGTTGTAGTACTACCTTATATATTTTGGATATTAATCTCTTATCATATATATGGTTTGTCAATATTTTTCTCCCTTTCCATAGTTTGCCTTTTCAGTCTGTTGATCATTTCCTTTGCTGGGCAGAAGCTTTTTAGTTTGATGTAATCCTACTTGTCTATTTTTGATTCTGTTGCCAGTGCTTTTGGCATCATATCCAATAAATCATTGCCAAGACCAATGTCATGAAGATTTTCCCTTAAATTTTCTTTTAAGAATTTTACAGTTTAAGATTTTATGTTTAAGTGTTTAATATATTTTGAAATGATTTTTGTATATGGTGTAAGATAAGCATACAATTTTGTTCTTTTGCATGTGGATATCCAGTTTCCCCAACACCATCTGTTGAAGGCACTATTCTTTCCCATTGTGTGTTCTTGGTACTTCTGTCAAAGATTAGTTGACCATATATGTGTGGGTTTATTTCTGGGTTCTCTATTCTGTATCATTGTTCTACATGTCTGTCTTTATGGCAGTACCATACTCTTTTTTTTTTTTTTATCTTACTTGAAACTTCTGTGTGTTCTTTTTTTTTTAACCTCTTTATTGGGGTATAATTGCTTTACAATGGTGTGTTAGTTTCTGCTTTATAACAAAGTGAATCAGTTATACATATACATATGTTCCCATATCTCTTCCCTCTTGCGTCTCCCTCCCTCCAACCCTCCCTATCCCACCCCTCCAGGTGGTCACAAAGCACTGAGCTGATCTCCCTGTGCTATGCGGCTGCTTCCCACTAGCTATCTACCTTACGTTTGGTAGTGTATATATGTCCATGCCTCTCTCTCGCTTTGTCACAGCTCACCCTTCCCCCTCCCCATATCCTCAAGTCCGTTCTCTAGTAGGTCTGTGTCTTTATTCCTGTCTTACCCCTAGGTTCCTCATGACATTTTTTTTTCTTAAATTCCATATATATGTGTTAGCAAACGGTATTTGTCTTTCTCTTTCTAACTTACTTCACTCTGTATGACAGACTCTAGGTCTATCCACCTCATTACAAA